AAGTTATTAAATTATTTTGGAATTAAGGAAATGAAACACCACTAGTGGCACAGGAATTAAACACCCAGCTGCTAACCAAAAGGCCAGCAATTCAAAACCAGCAGCTGCTCCACAGAAGAAAGATGTGGTGGTCTACTCCCACAGAGATTTACAGAGCTTCCAAAATCCTACAGGGTGGTTCTACTCTGTCCTGTACGGTTGCCACGAATTGGAACTGACTCAATGAGTTTGGTTTTATATGCTTTCATCATTGTAAAATATTTTAATATCTTATTAAAGTTTACAATTATTTAACACCTTTGTCCTAAAAAGATTCTTTATGAAATACATTTGGGACAAACCAGATCTGTGGCCCTGTGAGCATTAAACAAAAATACTTTTTTAATAGCTTTACTACTACTAGCAATTAGAAATCCTTCCCAAAATATAGTATCATTAAACTTTAGAGACAAGAAGTTACAAATTGACATGAACAATAGAAACCCATGAATGAACATGTAGTTTTAATTAAAAAAAAAAAACAGGAACTAAGAACCATAAATGAGACAAGTAGTGAATCTGATCATAATAATTAAATAAAGTACTTACTATCATCTCCAAGCTTAGAGGCATATTCATTAATTAACTCCTCTCCAACTTCTACAATTTGTTCACTATTCCGGGAGTTTTCTTCTCTCCATTTTCTCATTTTATCTCGCATTTCTGGTAAAATAAAAAAAAAAGTATGCCATATCTCTGATCAATGTCAAACAATTGACAAGATAGAATCAATATTCTAGGTAAAAAAAAATAAATTCAAACTAATGTAGAAAAAATGGTATCCCAAAACAGACAAAGTCGCAAATTAACTGGATAAGAGCAACAGATCTTTAAGAAGACTAAAAATTCATTTCAACTATCTTTATAAGCCCAAAAATGGCATCTATCTGTTACAAAGATCTCCTGGACCCTTTAAGCAGCTTTGGATCTTAACTTTTTTAGAGTCCTAGATTACTTTCAGAATTTGATAAAAACTGAGGATTATTTCCCAAAAAAATAAATAAAATCATATATAAAATCTCAAAATATTCAAGGTGCTCCTGAAGTTCAGCCAGTGACCCAAGATTATAAACTTTTCATTTGGTATATTAGACTATTAGCCCTGAAGGGATAGTCATCACAAAAGTAACTTAGTAACATTACTACTACAAAGGTACAAAAAAGGGGTAAAGATACATTTCTGTGCAAGGAAGTAAACAGGAAAAAAATTAAAACAAAGGAAAAAAAAAAAAAAAAGATTGAAACACAAATCCCTGAATACTTCTTTGGAAAAGGATCAGTCAGGAAAAAAATTAAAACAAAGGAAAAAAAAAAAAAAAAGATTGAAACACAAATCCCTGAATACTTCTTTGGAAAAGGATCAGTCAGGAAAAAAATTAAAACAAAGGAAATCTTTTGATTATACATACAATAAAGAATAATATGAATAAGGCTGGAACACTAGCAAACATTAAAAGTAGAGAAAACAGCTCAATATATTGTAATATAGCAGGAAATTCTGGAAGTCTTAATGCACATCACTGATAACAGAAATAACTAAAAAAAATACACACAATCTAGTAAACAAAAGGTTCCTTTTTTACATACTTAAGACAGAACGAACTGTCTAATTTACCAATCATATATATGTTTTGTTACTCCTGACTGAAAAGCTCACATATACACTCATCCTGAAGTACCACCTTTCCCTTCTGGAGATACAGATGTTGAAGAGATTTAAATCAATGAATTAGATAGTTGTTAAACAGATAAACTGAACAAACAATATGCTAGGCCCCTAGGGAATAAATAAAAAAGATGTACAAGCAATTTTCACCATTTTTACGTGAATTATCTGAGTCCCTGTAGTTCAAAGTCTACAAAAGAAAACAAAATTCATCAAAACATGAAAGTAGACTCTTAGGGAACTTACAAAAATAGTCTTAATCATTACAAATTAACATGCAGTTAATTTCCCTCTACTGCAACCTAGGAAAACAGCTTGCCTTTCACCATGCATAGGAAGTAATTTAGAACCCAGTCTTAAATTGACAAGTTCAGCAGGCAAACAAGAAAGTAGGTTATTCCACATGGAAAGAACTCCTAATGATTCAGAATTAAAGAAACAGAGAGTAGAACCAGGGTAAGAATGGGCAGGAAGTAACATGAGTGAGTTTTATAAGAGGCTATTTCATACTAAGGGAGCTCTGGTAGCGTAGTGCCTAAAGCACTTGACTGCTAACCAGAAGGCTGGTGGTTCAAACCCACTAACCACTCCTTGGAAGGAAGGTTGGGCAATCTACTTCCATAGTGATACCACCTCGGAAACCCAAGGAGGGGTCGCTATGAGTCGGGTCCAACTTGATGGCACATAACAACAACAACAACAATTCATACTAAAGAACCTGAAGTTTATTTTTGAAAGTGTTAGAGAAAAATGTTAAGCAAAATTTTTTTTAAAAAGTAGTTTGATCAGATCTGCATGTTAGAAAAATCATTCTGGTGATAGATAAACAGATGAGCAATAGATAGACTGACAGACAGATAGATAAAGAAAGAACAAACGCAGAAGATAAACCGGAAAGAAGTAAGACTAAAAGAAAAGAAACCAGTTAGGGAAGATGTATAGTCTGATGGAAAGAATGTGGGCTTAATAGTCACACTCGTTATGAATTGAAACTCTCTCTCTTGCATGACATGACCTCATACAATTTAACCAATCTGTGGTTAATTTTCCACACCTATGAATGAAGATGACAGTATGTACAGCTCAGGGACGTGTAGTCAGAAGTAACTGAAATATATAAAGCTCTCAGTAGA